TGGATGGATGGATGGATGGATGGATGGATGGATGGATGGATGTCCACCAGTTTTTAAGGGAACCCCCAACCGGACCTTTTTGCGCCACAGTCTTGCTGCTTTCCACTAGTTCATTCAACCTTTATTTAGACAGGTTAGTCCCATTGAGCCTCTGGGACTCATTTACAAGAGAGACCTGATTTAACAAAGAATGATGACAACAAAGACAACAATAGACAATCATAAAGGATGTGTACAAATTGAGAATAACAAGTGAAAATAAAATGGTAATTAAAAGGAAAAGTAGCAAAAAAACAGCTAGATTGTAAGGTGTTGGAGAAAACTAAAAACAGGAACATGTCTGTGTTGGTTGTTCCCAGGAACTGAACAGATGTTTAAATCCACTTAGAGGTCAAAGGTCGAGAGCTTCAGATCTTTTTACAAGATATTCCAGGAAACAGGAGCGGAGTAGGAGAAGGTCCTTTTGTCTAGTTCAGTCCTCACTGAGGGAACACTGCAGGTAATGATGTCCTGAGAGCGCACGCTGTAGCTGCACTCACACAGAGACATGTAGGAGGAGATGTATGAAGGCAGCAGACCAGGAAGTGATTTAAAGATGAAGATGTACCAGTGGGAGAGTCTGTGTGAAGTTAATGATGTCCAGTTAACCAGTGGATACTGGGTGCAGTGGTGGGTACGGTAGTTACAGCCAGTTATGAATCTTAGTGCACCATGATAGACAGCATCCAACATCTGCAGCATCCAACATCTGCAGCATCCAACATCTGCAGCATCCAACATCTGCAGGGTTCTTGTAGGAGCGTTCATGTAAATAATGTCACCGTAATCAATGGAGGGAAGGAAAGTCACAGATACAAGGTGTTTCCTAACATTCAGGGTTAGACAGGATCTGTTTCTGAAAAAGAAACCCAGTTTAACTTCCAGTTTCTTTACCAAGTTTAACAGGTGCAGCTTAAGAGAGATGTTTCGACCAAGATACACAAATATTTGTAAGAATGGACAAACTCAATAGGAGCACCATTTGTAGATAAGATAGAAGGAAGGACTGCTGGGACTTATTTCCTGTTTGAAAAAGCATCCCTTTGGATTTATTGACATTTAGGACAAGTTTGAGACGGAACAATATTAATCTTTCCTGGTTTCATGTTTAAGACACATCGTGTTTCTTACTTTTCTAATCATTAATTAGTATTTTATTTATTCTATAATGCAGATGTTCGCCGCTTTTCATCTGGGGGAGAGGCTGAGATTCAGGACCCGCCCCCTTCTGGAATCCTCTTCTCTGATTGGTCCGGCACCACATCGGCCCGCGCGCACACATTTAAAGAATCCCTGAGCTGCTCCGGCATCATTTTCTGTCGCTCTCAGACCAGAGAACATTCCTGAACCATGAGCGGAAGAGGCAAAACCGGCGGTAAGGCCAGAGCCAAGGCCAAGACCCGCTCGTCCCGAGCCGGACTCCAGTTCCCAGTGGGCCGTGTTCACAGGCTGCTGCGGAAAGGGAACTACGCGGAGCGGGTCGGTGCCGGCGCCCCGGTGTACCTGGC